GGCCGGCGCCGGCGCCGGCGGCGGGCACGCGCCGCTGGGGCGGGAGAGCGTCAGGTCAGCAATCAGCGGCGACGCCTGGATAGCAATCAGAGAGGAGAGCGCCCTCCCCTGGCAGCGAGACTCCGGCCTGCCAAAAGGCGCCGCCGCGCGCCTGTCCGCGCGCCCCGACGCGCCCGCGGCGCTGCAGCGGATGCTGGTCGCGCTCGCCGCGCGCGACCCCGCCGCGCCGGGGCGCCTCTGGCGCGGCGTCGGCGTGGCGGCCGCCTTCCTATTGGCTGTCGCTGAAGATGAGGAGCGCGCTTTCTGGACGCTGGCTGGCCTGGCAGACCGCCTGTTCGGCGCGGGCGACTTACAGGTTCGCCTCACCCCCGCCCGCGCCGCTTTGTGCCGCGCCGCATGAGCTCGCCAGCCGCCGTGACTCGAGGCGCACCGCCTGCGATGGCGTACGCGGCCGCGCCCCCGACGCCTCCGCGCCCAATATCATCCGTCTCCGCCCACTAGCATCTGCCCAATCTCGTCGTCACCTCTCCAGGGCCAGCACGGCGTGATGGTGGAGTGCCACCTCCTCGCCTCCCTGATTAAGATCAGATCTCCCCGCGTCCACGCCCACCTGACCGACGAGCTCGAGATCTCCCCGGCTGACCTGATCTCCCCTTGGATCTCGAGGTGCTTCGTGGGATCTCTCGGAGATCTCGAGGCGACGGCGCGGGTATGGGACTGCCTCGTGTTCGAGGGCCCAAAAGTGCTCCACAGGGTCGGCCTCGCGCTGCTGGCGCTTTCAGAGTCGACGGTGTTCAGCTGCGCGCACCCCCAAGCGCTGCCGCGGCTGCTGGAGGCGCGCTGCGCGCAGGCGCTCTGCGGGCCGGGGCGCGGCGGCGCGCTCGTCGGCGCGGCGTACAAGCGGAGCGTCGTGGGCGGGCTGCCGGCGTCGTTGGTCGCCGGGCTGCGGGCAGCGGCCGCGGAGGAAGTCGCGGGGAAGCTGGACGAGCGGCGCCGGCGGCTGGCCGCCTTGCTGGCATGACGCGACGCGGCCTAGCGCGCTCTGCGGCAGTGGCGAGCGAGCACATGCCAGCGCAGGCTCGTGAGGTATAAAGGGGTGCGCACGGGCCCCGTGGGTCGATGGAAGGGCGCCACATGGCGCCGCATGGCGCCGCATGGCGCCGCATGGTGCCGCATGTCGTCGCATGCGGCTCGCTGGTTCATTGCACTGCGAGTTTGCTGTGCGCGCTTAGAAGGCCCGCTTTACGGCTCACCATGGACCATGTCAAAGGCCTGCAGAGGCGCCGTGTGCGCGTCATCGCTCCCGCTGCCCAGCCAGGGAGTGCCCAGCCAGGGAGTCCCCCCACATTGCATAGGGCAGGGCAGCCAGTTGGCGCCCTCGCTTGGTCACCGCACGTATTTGTGACGGTTTGCATCCAACAAGCATGTTTCACACAAACACAAACACACACATCTACACGCATATATCAATGTTGAGTACCTCGTCTGACGGCCTTTCTGCTCGGGGCTGGCCTTCAGACAAGGCTGGCTGCACCTGGCTGCACCTGGCTGCACCAGTCTGAGTGCTGCGGCGTTGTTACATGTTTCTGCAAACTCAAATTCGGTTTGCCACCAAAGCCTGTGATTCATCGAGAGACCGTGCACCTGCACCGGGACGAGCACAGCCAGCGGGCAGTTTGCGCCTCAACACGTCATCCACCCGACCTGCAAGCAGCCGCAGTGGGCGGTAGCCCATGCTGGCGCAACTTGCGCGGCATGGTGCGCCTAGGTGTTTCTCATGCCGGACTGGCGATTACACCGATGCCGGTTGGCCCTGTGACTCATTTCGTGGTGCGGTTTGGAGTGATGGGCGGAGCCTTTGCGAGGATTGCGATAAGAGAGTAACACTAATGGCAGGCTCTTGCTATTACATGGGCTGTTGAATTGTGATCATCGTTCGGCGATGCGACATTTGGGCCTTGGGCGGAGCCTGCCCATACAGCGGCGGCGGCAGTGACGGTACTGGTCTGCTAGCTGCTGATATACACGCTCATTGAAGCCGTCTCCCCCAAGGCTACATGTTCGCGGCCTGGGGGCTGATGGCAGCAGCAAGGGCCTGCGCGCCATGCAAGTTGGGGCCAATGGCTGACAAGCGGGAAAACCTTTGCAAACAACGCAGCCACAACCGCATGTCGCGGCAGACAGCTTGCAGGGAAAACATAACAAACTGCTGGGCCTTAGAAGCCGGCAGCGCTTGTCTGGGGCCTGCTTTGCCGCGCCGCCTGCGCCGCCTTGGCCTGCGTGGTTGGTGATGCAAGCAAGGGCGAATTTTGGCCAAGGCGACCACGCGAGCGAGACAGCGGAGGCGTCCCAGCGGTGCAATGTATCACGCAAGAGGCGTGACCTATGCATGCAGGTCATGCGATGCGAGTAATACAGTATGAGTGCCGCACGCATAGTCCGTGTGTTGCTTTGCGGCTGAGGGCGCTGCACCCCACAACAGCGCCGCAGGCGCCATGCGCAATGCGCCATGCGTCATGCGCCATGCTTCGAGCCCAGCCGCCCCTTGCACGCATGCATGGCAGCTTGCACTCGCGCTCATACCTCCATCTCTTCAAGCTTCTGAAGGGTCACAGACTTCAGCGGCATGATCTTGGGTTTGCAGAGGACTTCAGCCAGGCCGCCCTTTTCACTGACGATGAGGCCAGCCTTGGGCAACACGGCGCCGATCGGCGCCGCTGGAAGCTGGGAATCGCGGATGCGATTGCGTTGTTCGGCGCGCGCGGAGCGTCAAGGGGTTGGAGAATTGCTTTCGTTGGCGCCGCCCTGCTGCTACGATGAGCAGGGGGTGCAGCTGCTGTGGCGCGGCGGCGGCGGCGCTGTGCGTGCAAGGACGCAGTGCGGGATGACATGTCACGGCATTATAATTGCTGGACTCCAAAAATCACATAATACCTGCCCGTTGCTAGCCATCAAGCGTGCGTTCGATCTGCCGCGCGATCTGGTCAAAGCTCCAGCGATACGGTAATATCAGCGATGATATCAGTGCATATGGTAAGAAGGTGACGATCCCGGGCGCGACCTGCATCAACTTGTTCTGCGAGCCGTTTGCCGCATGGGCAGCTATGTTCACACTCCACCTCAGCACTTGTGTCCAGCCAGAGCCTAGCTGCGGCCTGCTTGTGTGTCAGGGTGTGTGTCACCTGGGCTGCACGCGGCACCCCAGTACCCAATCACAAACACACAAACATCACCCAAATAGAGCAAACCCAGACGATCGCTTCCCTGCCTTGCGCAAATCCTGTTTGGCCACAGCAGATGTAGCCGCACATAAGGACGGCCTGGACCTTGGGCAGTGCCGCCTGACCCATATCAACGCCGTCCGCGCATGCTTGAGCCGCCGCACGTACATGTCCTGGCGCAGGAAAAGGCGCCTGGCGCTCCTAGTAGCGCTTGTTTACAGCCTGCTCCCATCGCGCCACCCCTCATCGCTACCAATGCTGCCCGCCAAGCATCCCAACGTGCGGATAACGGGCGCCGCTGCCGCTACTGCTCGCCATCTTGTCTCGCGGTCCAACCTCCCCTAAACATCGGGCCGCATAAATATTGTTACATTCTCGCGAACAGGTGGGGGTGGCGCAATCAATGGACACTGAGTAATCAGGGACGGGCGGGTGACATCACCGCGCAAAGGCCGCGCCCTCCCCTGTCAAGCCGGAAGCGCCCTGAATCATGAGCAGGGCCGTTGATCTCGTAATGCTCGCCGGGGTCGGGTCAACAAATGGCCGTGTGGGTGGTTGGGGGGGGGGGCAGGGCGAGGGCCGCCCCCGGCAGTGTCATGCATGCAAAGTCCCCGTCAGCATTCCCCTTTCTTACGCTGGCACACGGCCACCTCCCACTCACACCCTTCTCCGCACGGCGTGTGACTGCAAACAATAGGCAGGCGCCCCCCAGGCAACATCTGCCCGCATGCAGAGAGAAAAGAGGGCCGCTTGCGGCTTGGGGACGGGTCGGGGCCGGCCGGGCGCCCCTCAAAACCCACAGACCAGCACCCACCAGCCACCGGCGCGGCGCTCAAGGAAGTAGGGGGGGACATGTCGTGCAAAGGGGAATGCGTCTGCGCAGGTGGAAGAAAAGAAGAATCCAAGGCCGCCACGCGGCGTGCCTGGAGAAACCACGCGTGCGGCCATGCAATCGCGGGCACAAGGCTTTCGGGCAGTGCTAGGGGGTCGGGTGTCCCGCCAGCCGACGGCCGAGACCCCCTTGGAGAAACATCTAAACAGAATGCAGGACGGAAGCCCAGATAGATGTGCAAAGAATATGCCATGCTTTCCGTCCGATCAGGACATGCGCCAGGGCCAGTTGCGCGCGCCGGCCCCACCCGGCGTGGGGAGTCAGGGAATGGTGGGTAAAGACGTCAGCAGCCGAAACAGCACACTGCACAGCGGCCTCCCTTGAATATCAGAGGTGACGCGCGGCGCACGGCGGCCGCGCCATCAGACGCCGCCGCGACCGCCCGCGCGCAACCCCTCGCCACCCCGCGCCGCCAGGGGGACGGGCACGGCATCCAGCACCCGCAGCCGGCAGTGGCAGGCGGGCGGGCCCCAGGT